GCTATTATAAGAGGAACTAAATGATTTTTTGTTTTTGAGAAGTAATTTTTATGTAGAAGAAACTTATTTATATTGTTCATAAGTTTGTTTCATTTTTAAATACTTATATTGTTAATCAAGGTTTGTAAATAATTATAACAATTAAAGTACATTATTGTACTAAAATTGTTATTCAAACAAATTACAAATGAAAATTATATTTTGTAATAACTTTAATTATAGCCTATAACATTATTATTTGGAAATAATTGTTTACTCTATTATCCAATCAACATATAGTAAGAAAAAGTACAATGTAAATTGCACAATTTAAAACTAATTGTTTTATATTTTTCACTGGTAAAACCTCTAATTTAAATTTTATGGTATGTAAAGTAGGGCGCCTACATTTATGATGTAGACAGTGTTGAAAGAAATATATTTTGAAGAATTACAAAGAAATATTTATGTAAAATTAAGTATTAAATTCATATGTTTATAATAATAAACATGTATTATTTTCAAAATAATTATTAAATAAGTATATTCTACATAAATGGAATTGTTTTTATTTTAGATCCATAATTTGTACGTGATAAATTCGCTTTCATGTTGCTTTTACTTAAATACTTCCTCCTATAATTATTCCTTTATTTAATTTGAAATAATTATCAGTATTAAAATTTATTTTTGAATGCATACAAATATTACTTTCTTTTCTAATAATAAACATCAAACAGTTAATAGACTAAGTACAGTAATCCCCGCTTAAGTGACGCAGGTTCCGATTGCGTTGCGACATTTATTTGGGGAGATAAGTATTTCTGGGATTTGACGGCTGTTTTCTCCCTTCGATTCGCACACTTTTTGAATGCATCGAAGGCGAGAGTATGCAATATTGAACGCGAATGAAATAGAAAGGTTCGACAGCAGATTACCCGTATAATTCAAATTCATTCAAACATGGTCATGTTTGGTATTATTTTCATTGGAAGAACCTTAGCAATTTGATTAAAATAATCCCATAATTATAATCCCATAATATACAAATTTTATTTTTCTTATTTTGATAATTCATTGATGGCTGGGATATCGTCGATTATGAGATTGATAACGCGAGCGCTCGGTCCGTCGAAGCAGTTCCAGAAATTCGTGGGAATAATTCTCCGACACTCAAAGCGAGGATTACTGTAATCTGTCTATGAAAGTGCTAACTCTTTTATATGTAGAGTTATATATCCCTATGCTTAGTGTGATAATATGTAGTGAGTACTAGTATTAATTAAATTAGTGACACAAGGTTAAGATAAAACAATATTGGTTTTCAATATAAGTAACATTGTACATTACAGGAAATTATTATATTGGTCCTAATTTTCCTGTCAGTTTTTAATACAAAGGATAATGATTATGAACCAAATAATACATTTTAGTTATAGATTTTTATAGTTATGTTTCTTATTATGAACTATACAATCAAACTGTTTCTGTGTTAAAGTTTACTAACACATTGTGTCAATGTAAAAATGTAATCAGTTAATAGCATAACTGAACTGTTTTATATTAATATCTAGAAAAAATCTTGTTTCATGAAACTATTATATAAGTGTATAAATAATATACAATTTATTACATGTCATGTATAATATAACTCTAACAATATATTACCCATGATAATTTAATGTTACATATATTCTTTTTCTCATGAATAATGCTTTTAAATATGAGTATATTGTCTACAACACTTCCTTAATAGGCCTTCAACAATTGACAACCTATGTTAATACCTGTTATAAAGTGCTTTTATTTTTATAATAATAACAGATTTGTTGCTATCTTAAATATCTATAAAAATAGATATTCATTTAAAATAAGTAGGGACATATAAATGAAAAAAAAAAAGATAGAGAAAATGAAGTAATATATCTTTTGACATGATTATTATAATCCATTATTCTAATTGCATTGCTTGGAACATAATATTGTACAATACAAATTATATGAATTTAGAAAATTA